CCATAGCCTCTGCCCCTTCCCCTGCTCCCCAGTTTCTCCTCCCACACCTTACTGTCACATGCTGCTGGGCTCTGTTTCTTCCTGGAGCACAGCATGTTGAAGCACAGCTCTTGCCAGCCATGCAATAGTGTTGGCATTGCTGATGGGCCAGGCAGGGGACATGTCCTCTGTTCTCCAGCAGGGAACCCAGCCTCAGCCAGAGTCCAACTGTGCCTGACAGTAACGAGGGAGAAGCATGGACAGAAGCTGCTAAGACAAGTTGAGGGCAGGAGGTTGCTGTGGAGGGGTCAGAGTCAGATCTGCAGCAGGCGCTTGCCCCTCCTCCCTACTTTGCACATGAATCTAAGATGAAGGGCTTCTCCCTCATGCTGACTTGGGGGAAAACTTGTTTTAGATTCAAGTAAAAATGGTAAATTGCAGCCTGCAGGGCTTGTTTGTGTGGCTACTGGAGCTTCTATGTTGGCACAGCTCTGGAACCCAAGGTGTGAAAGCTGCTGCGGCTTGCCCCCCACCCTTTGCCCTCCTGCTTGAATTTGGGATTTTTGGTCACCATTGGTCACCATTTGCTCACCATTGGTGACTAAAAATCAGGAGCAGGGGCAGAGCTGGGCTAGGGAATTAGCATTGGCAGCATTCAGTCCTGGGTTCCAGAGCTCCTCCACCTGCACTGACAAGCTCCTGTTGGAGGTGGCTCATCCAGCCCATGAGATGCTCTGCAGTCTGAATCTGGCCCAAGGGGCCAAGTGAGTTGGACACCCATGGTCTGTTACCATCCTCTTCCTAACTACCCTTCAGGTATTTGAAGATTGTTATCAAATCCTCTCTTAGTCTTCTCATTTCCAGGCTAAATAATCCTGGTACTTCCAACTTTTCCTTGTCTTGCTTTCCTCTAATCATTTTTCTTGTTCTCTGACAGATTATTCCTAGTTTATCCACATCTTTCCTGAAATGCAGTGTCCTGAAATCTTTCCTGAAATGGAGTGCAATGGATGTAGTACTCCAAGTGAGGCCTCTCCAGGACTGAACAGAATGGAAGAATCAATCCCTTCGATGTGCAAGTGAAACAAGATGCTCCTGTTAATACAGCCCAGCATGCTATTAGTTTTGTTTTGTTTTGTTGCAATTAGAGAACACCATTGGCTCATATTCAGTTTCTGGTCAGCTATAATTTCCAAGTCCTTTCCTGCAGTACTGCATCCTAAATGGTCATTCCCCAGACTGTACTGTGCATGTGATTGTTCTGTCCTAAGTGCAGGACTTGGCACTTGTCCTTATTGAATTACATTTGATTAATTTTGGACCATTTCTCCAGTTTATCAAGGTCCATCTAAATCCTAATCCTATCCCCATGGTGTCTGCAACTCCACCCATCCTAGTGTCATCTTCAAATTTATTAAGTGTGCACTCAATGCCATCCTCCAAATCATTATTGAAGATATTTGGCAATATATGTGTTTGGCAATCAGATGTGTTTGGCAATATCTTTTACTGGACCAACTGTATGACTGGGAAAGATTTCCTTCCCCAGTCTGGGAAAAAACCAGATACAGCCTATGCTAAACAGCAGTTAAAAATGGCATTAGTTTACCTAATGAGATTAAACAAGTGATCACTTAAAAAGGAAAGTGGGCAGTAAACCCTTTGAGTGGGAGGGAAGTTATCAGAAATACTTACAGACCAAGCAGAGAACATTTGAAGTGGAGAAACCTAGTTGCATAAAAAAATACGGCAGTAGAAGATATTTCCAAACAAAATCCTGTTCCTTATAGTTTCTCAGCCACTGATACCCTCACAGGACTCTTAGTAAGAGAGTTGCAGTTCCCCAAGTCCGTTCCTACAAACAGCTCCAGTGGAATCCATGTAATGCAAGTGCGCAGCAGCTGATTTTAGGAAGGACTGGGAATCTCCACAGACATGGAAAAGATGACTTCCAGTTGTGTAAAATTTGCTACTTGTACGCGTTACATAGCTAGAGGGCAGGTTAGAGACCAACTGAATCAGATAAACCTTAGAGACCAACTGAATCAGAGACAGATGAGTAGCATGCTGTCTTTCAAAGCTGTTATTAGATTATTGTTTTATGGGAGCTTTTCACTGAGTTGCATGAAAGGCTATTATTTAAGTATCTAGAGACAAACTGAAATGGAAAAAACCTCAAATAGTTATTCATCACTGAACATTTCTATAAGTAAGTAAAAGGCTTTTATCAGAGCCTATTACAGTCTGTCATTGTAAACTCACTTGACAATGCATGGCAAAAAGGCTCTTGTGCTTGAAGAAAAATACTGATACGACTCTGACCAAAAGACATTTACCACTGAGTAGCTTTGAACAACACCAGAAAACTGTTGTATTTACTTTGTAAAACAAACTAAATGCAGCAGATTTACTTTGTCCCGTCTAATTTTTTCTGTTATTTTATGGTTTAATCATTAAACAGCTACGACACACATGAGATTTTAAGTTTGTAGGGTAGTGGCATAGGTGAATTAAAAAAAGTTTCAATTAATCAATTTCCTGGATGTATTCATATTTAGACGCAGTGACTGGCTGCTTTGATTCTCTTGCGTCTCAGGAAGGTTATTGGTTGCTTAGTACAAACTGACCAATACAAAAGAAACTGCCAGATACAAGTTCTTTGGAGAAGATAAGTGTTCATGCATGACCTACTTTAACACAAGGAAATAAGAAGAGTCATTGATCTTGTTTAAATCCTTGACTGATATTGTTGAATGATCTATTTTGCATATGCAGAAAGTTAAATATTATCTTGGGATTCTCATCTTAAGAAATAAGTCATTTGTTGGTTTACAAGTGGAATCCCCACATAATAATTTTTTTTAACATAAAATCCTTCACCAAAAAATTCAGGCTTGACAATCTAGTGTGAATGTGATCTAAACTCACTGGAGGGCTAGATTCACAAACAAGACTTGAAGAATTAAGCATTGCAATGCAGAGTCAATTCTCTAACACCTAGTACAGGAAAAAAACCTGTGATCTTAACAATAATGCATAGGCACCTAAAATCCACATGCAGGGGTCTACCTCAGCTAGCTCCATGTTCCCTGGGAAAAACTTATCCTCTGACACAGCCTTTCTACCCTGTGCTCTTATAGACAAACAAGTAGACACATAAGACTTACTTCTGCTCAGCTAGCCATTTCAGTTAGATAAGAAATAGGCATTGCCAAATGCAGCGGATCCGCTGTGCCAGGATGTGTGCTGTCACAGCTGATCCACTTTACTGAGCAAAAAACACTTCACCCATTATCCTGTCCATTAATCTTACAGGACAATGGGCAACATGTTTTCCTGAGGTTTGCAAGGCCCAATCCTGTCCAAGGCCCTGGAGCACCTGTCTGGGCTGGTTGGGAATGCAGGCAGCTCTAGGCTGGCTGAGCTCTCCATACATGAAGCAAATAGATGTCCACCACTAAACAGTGGCACAAATTAATACCATCTTTGTCACAGCCACAAATTTTGGGCATTTGTGGGACAAACAAGCATACACACAACGTAATTATTTTTATGGTGGCAAAAAGGTGATAAAAGAAAATATCTGTTTCTACCCTTAGAAATTTTTTGGATATCCAGGGGCCAAAAAAACCTGTGCAAAAAAAAAAAAAGCGGGGTGGCACACACGGGGGCAAAGTGCACCGCTCAAAACTGGAGTCGGGCCGGTCAGAGCCACACTCTGGCTGCCAGCCAGGCTCTGAGCAGCAGGAGCACCCAGGAGCTCCTCAGGACCCCAGGCTGCCCTACCCCACCCAGGGTAACTTGCCACATGCCACAAGGTGTGTGACACAGGTGTCACCTGGGGACAACTAGCAGCAGCATAAGGTGTACCACTGCCAGTTGTTCCTGGGGAACCAAATGTCCATGCTCGTGTAGGTGCAGTTTGTGCACTGAAATATAGGGAAGCATCATTCCTTTTCATTCTGCCTGCAGTTTGGCAGTGTCTGAGCTCTTGGTAAGATGGTTTTACCATATTAATGACAACTAGATTTATAATAATAAATACTAGTGCATCTTGGTTCAGTGAATGAAAAGAAATGACATATTGCATATGGTAGGTGAGAGGATTCCTGC